CGGTATAGACTGAAAGTGGGAAAACTTCGGTGAAGTCTCATGGTGATAGACGTGAAGTCTGGTGTGAAATTACATGTTCATGTCCTGAATGTCAGGATAAACCTAAAGCTTGGTTTTGTATCGTTATACGGAAAGCGTATCCGGCCAATCGTGTGTAGGCCTACGTACACTATTCATGACCTTTCCAAATCCACTTTACATGTAACTAAATACATGCTGCCTTCAGCCAGCAGTCATCCGGATTTAGAAACGCTTTCACGATTACTTGTATAATGGGTTTTGCGACAGAACATTCACTTGGGAGCATTCTAGCGGTTGTTTGTTCATATTAAAGTTAGGGTAGAACATTTGTCATTTTGTGTTTTTTTTGTTGCGTTTCAAGCACCAAAAGCGCTCAAAATCTAAAGACGGGTGCTTAACAACTAACTATAAAGTTTTAGCTCTGACATCTGATGTAGGCTATCCGGTTCGTTAGTGTGACGTCACCTCCAGCACTTTCTGCAAGATTGGAACCGGAAGTTAACGCAGTTCGAGCGTTTGCAGCCAATGGGCGCTAGTAATCAGTGGTGCGTGCGCGTGTATGACGTTTTTACTAACGAGCCGGATAGGTCTATTCCGAGAAAACAAAATTCTATAGGATCTCGATCGATTTCAATGGAAAAATGCCAAGTCATGTTTTGAATTGCGCCCGAAATCAGCGTCCGGGACACGTTCTCATTCAGCCGATTGCAGCTCTTTTGTAAGTCCGAGCGTGCAGTGTTTTCGTTGTATGCATTAATAATTATAGCCCTATGGTTTTATGCCGCATTGTACCAGAATAGAGTATTTAGTTTAGATTAGGTAGCGCTGTAAGCGAGAAGCATTCTCTCTTTACATCTCAATATTTTATTTACAAGCACAACTTACCATTATCGGCAAGAGCTGTCATAACCCAGAAAAAAATCAGCCATACATTAAACTCAATAGTATTAATAAGCCAAACAAAAACTATGGTAAAGTCAACATGACACCAGCAAAGTTAATGACTCGGAAAGTACCAGCTGCACACCATCAATATGATTTATAGGGTGCGAAGCCTTTTTCTATTCCACTATTGCAACCTGTTCAATATTCAGCAGGTAACGACTTTTATCTGAGATATCAATCACTATAGGACGCAACCTTTAAAGGCATATCATTTGCATTTATCCTAAAAGTAACCTATACCGAATAGATCAAAAAGCTTACTTGGATTAAATATTGTGCACTGGTTCTAAACACCCCATGAAATTATTCCGTCTGGCTTGCTGTCATTTTATAGAAGAAATCAAGAAACGTGTAAAGCTACAGTCCATCATATGCAGCTATCCAAAAAGTAACTGACGTAATTATTGTTGAAAAACATACTTGGTTTAAAGTTAGTAATGGAACTAAACTTCCTGTCAAATTATTCTTTCTGGCAAGCTGTCATTTTGAAGAAATCAATGAATGAAGGCATTTCCAACGGTGCATCTAAAGACGCATCGTTGGAAATGTCCGTTATTAAATCGTTGTTTATTCGGCGAAGCGCGCGCAGGCGTGTCTCGGACGCTGAATTCAGGCCCGATTCAAAACATGACTCAGCTACTTTTGATTTAAAACAAGATCCTAGAATATTGTTTTCTCAGAATATACAGCATTCACTGAGCTGAAACTGCACCAGGTTAGTTGTTCAGCACCCTTCTTTAGATTGTGAGCACTTTTGTTGCTTCAAACAAACATGCACAAATTACAAATGATGGACTATACCTTTAATGATTTCAAGCGATCAGTCAACTGGCTATTGACGAAACTGTGTTTTTCGTGATCAAAAAGTTGTGCATGGTTTTTCATTGTCTTCTCGATAAGTTTAATATCCACTGAGCTGAAACTTCAACAGGTTATAGGTTTTGAACGGTCTTCTTTGGATGGAAACGATCAAAGATGCATGAAAAGCAAAATGATCCTATATGCCTTGAAATTACGATATTGTATTATCAATGCCGTATTATGATCGATGTCTTCAGGGAACAGGTAATGAAGAATATTAATACCAAAATTCAAATAAGCGGTAAACAACCTGACACTGGCAAATTGGCAACGTGGACAGCTCGAGGATATATTAATATTCCAGACCAGGAAATCGATTTTTTTGCGGCAGAAACCAAATATCAAGGAAAAGGCTATCAGGAAAATAGGCCAAAGCGATGGTAATAGATCACAAGGTTTGAGCTGTTTACGGTAAGTTGGAAATGATAATAACTTGCTTAGCCTACTACGGACTACCTCGTAATAAGTGCAAAACTTGAGCTTCCAACGCAGACTGTGAAACATTAAATTCAACTTAATTCCAGTGTATGGGACAACGCAACGGCCGTTTTTTTCCCAAAGTAAAGTCGCAAACAAGGAAGCCATTGCGTACACCACCCACAAAACTCAACAAAAGCAATACGTTTGCACATCCTCCCCTTCTATGCTGGATAAACAAAGGCAAACAGGCCCTTCTTGAAGTCGGGATCCCTGACCCTACTTCAGACAAAACGGAGCCATTTATGGACATCTGGGTATTGCCAGGTCAGGGAACCAGACTATAGCTGGCTTGCACCCGTTCACGGAAGGTTGATCTAGGCCTAACTAAATTTTGTACATTGAGAGCAGTAGGCCTTTTTGAAAAAAAAAAAAAGATTGGAAGTTGATACAAAAATCTCACTTTCTTGAAGATGACAGCATGCTTTAGACTATTAATTATTCACTTACAGTCAAGTAGAATTTTCACAATAATTTGGCAGTTTTGTGGGTTTTTTTTTTTGTTCGCAATATAATGTTGCATCCTACCTTTAAATCTGCGTTCTCACTGTTCCGGAGTTCTGATGCACAGTTTTCTGTAGCAGTCTTGTCCAGTTTGCTCTGTGTATCGTGCTACTCAGTATACTCGCACTATTCGTCTCACCTAAAACAAAACAACAAACTAGAGCTTAAGTAACAGTTAACAACTTCCAACAGACACAGAACTATTTTTTTAGGATGTGTTTCAATCTCTTTAAGTTTTACCGTTAATTCGACCGTGACACGTAATATACTTTTCATTCTACCAGTCAGTTTTCTTAAATTGAATTGATATTTCATTTTGGGCAATACATCAATGAAACCACTCAACCATATTTTATTTAACCACACTAATGATACCTTGGCTCGAAAATATTTGAGGTCGTGCGATACCATCGATCTCTGTCTAAACAACAGTTGCATACTGGCATTTCATCTATACATTAATATTTGTATTACATTTCTTTACCCTGGGTATGCCCAAACAGTTTTAAAGCGCATATTGAACTAGTGTGCTAGTAACAGAAAAATCACTGGCTGATGGCTTTACAGATAAATAGTTCTGATTTGAATGTACCTATTCTATACGGTAGTTGTTCGTGTATTTCGATATTGATTATAGTGCAATACCAACTTTGCTATTATATAAATAGCCTTCTTTGTGATAAGCAATATATCATCTGAGCAGTTAACCATTTTTAACTACTGTGATGTACGGTATGTCGTTTTTTTTTACACCCGAGGAGCGCATAGGCATATCCTCGTTATGCATTGCATTAAAATACATCAGTGCGAACAGCGACATCATGCGGTCACTATCTTATGCAAATCATTTGGATCCGATCGAACGCCGTGGTCCAATCGTCCGCGAAAGCTTGTGTTTTTCTTTATTTTGCGCTAGATTTCCAGCACACGACCTCATATGCGAATACAGGTAAGTGTATAGGCGGGGCTAATTATGTGGAGTGTCCAATCAAACCTTGGTATTCTAGACGCAACGTGTGTGTATGTATTATGTACAGTAGCGCATGTCTCGCCAGTACCCCTCGCTAACCATAATCATAAGCAAGTTTCTACGCAACGATCGGCCAATAAGAAAACGACGTTTAAGGTCAGCTTAGGCTATTAGCATAATGAGCACCACCCCAAAACCTCACATGGACGATTGGACCAAGGCGTTCGTCTGGATCTAGATGATTTGCATAAAATAGTAGCCGATCGTTTACCGCGCACGGACGAATAATGACGAACGCCTGGACCAAGATGTATCCGGTTCGTTAGGGCGACGTCATTTTAACTTAACCATGCGTACTTCCAACTGTGTCGCATAGCACGAATGGAGTCGGGAGTTAACGCAACTTGAGTGTTTAGCCAAATCAGTGGTGCGTCAGTGTATCCGGTTCGTTAGTAAGAAACATAGATATAGAACTTAAAATAAGTTTAAGTTCTATATCTTTGAGTAAAAGCGTCATACACTCGCGCGCACCACTGATTACTAGCGTCCATTGGCTAAACACTAGAGTTGCGTTAACTTCCGGCTCAATTCGTGCTATGCTACATCGTATGAGGTACGCGTGGTTAAGTTGAGATGACGTCACACTAACGAACCGGATAGCGGTTTGTGATAAACACGTGACTACAACATTACATTTTTTTCTTCACTCTTTCACTAGTTTCAGACACTCTTTACGCGCCCGCAATTATGCAACGCGGTGTATGAAGTGAACATTTTTTTTTATAGACCGGACACGTGTCCGTTCTAGACCAATGAAACTACAGTATCCTAGCAAGACAGGATATAAAAGTTCCATTTAGCTTCGCGCTTGGAAATACTGATATAAGAACGCCTACATTAGTCGTCTCAAAAATTGCCGCAGCACACGTGTTATTTATAATGTTAAGTATTTGGTCACCTTTTGTTTGGTCTTTTTTTTGTAAAAGTTATGCTGGAAATTGGTATGCCACCAATGGGAGTACGTTTTTGTTTTTGTTTAAATGTCATTTCCTTTTGTGTGTTTTTCAACAGGTTGATAAAAACAATATAACAGGCACAAAATGTCACAGGGTCTAACCCCCACGAAGGAGTCGAGGACTCCAGCGCGCGAGGTGACGTCACGTATTGACTTGTTTTTTTTTACGCTATCAATGTATTGTAGCAAATTAGGAATTCTGCGTATGGTAAACGGAGGCGACGTGCGGTGACACCTACTGAATAATTTCAAGAACAATACCCTATGTTCACTTCATTTTTATTTCAGAAGAGGCAAGAGCCACTCTGGGAGTTGCTTTGAGGACGCCGCGATACGAACTCCCTCTTTTTGGGGGCCGGGAGGCATCCGATATAGATACTGCCCGGAGATGATGACGCTGCCAAGTGCGGCAGAGGTCGCGGGGCTTCTGGCCACGGTGTCCGCTGGGAAAGTGGAGACAGAGGCAGGCAACGGTTCGCTCAACTCCAGTATGTCAGTAGGAGACGCCGACTACAGTAGTTCGTACTCCGCTTACTCGTCGATCTACTACCTCAACCACGGCGGCATGTTTCAACAGCAGGGGATGGACGTCTGGGTCCCCATCGTGCTGTTCTCCGCCGTGCTTCTCATCGGCATGCCGGCCAACGCCGTTGTCATCTTCGTGTTGGCGCGCAAAGGGACCTGCAAGTCCAACATCAACATATTCCTGCTGAATCTGGCCGTGGTGGACTTTGCCTTTTTGCTGTTCAATGTGCCCATCAAGTTGAACTCGTACTTCTTGTCGTCCAGGACCATGTGGCACCTGGGCCCGGTCATGTGCAAGCTCAGCATCTACTTGGTGTACGTGAATATGACGGTCAGCATATTGAGTCTGGTGGCCCTGGCAGTCAACCGGTACAATGCCGTCATGCGCCCAGTCAGCTGCCGAAGCAACAGGTAACAATTAAAGCTCACACATTTTAAAGGCTTATATAGGGTGGTCCCCAAAAACGGAACCTCCTACCTCCTACTTTCTACACTGAGACTCAAACCAGAGCTACCAATGCATGAAGAATCTTTTTAGAAGAGAAACGAAACCAAGATCGCCCGATTCGGTCCGGTAGTTTTTGTTCTAAAGCCTATTTTGTGAAGCAAGGTGGGGTCATAATTTGTCCCGATGAATCACTACACCGCACCCGGGAATTTGACTTACATTGAATGTAATTCATAGGGGGATTGTTATCTAATAATACCCACATGAAAGAAGTATCCTTCACACAAAAAAGGCTCTGCAGCAAAAAACTACTGGACCGAATCGGGCGATCTCGGTTTCATTTTTCTTCTAAAAAGATTCTCCATGTGGTCTGAGTCTCAGGGTAGTGGAAGTATGAGGTTCCGTGTTTTTAATTTTTTTTCGGGACCAGCCTGTATAGGATCATTTGCATTCATCCCAAAAGTAACCTACCGAATTATCAAAAAAGCTTATACTTGGATTAAAGATCGTACTGGTACTAAACACACCGTGGAATTATTCCGTCTGGCTTGCTGTCATTTAGAAGAAATCACGAAATGTAGGTGGTTTCCAACGATCACTGACTGATATTTGGAAATAAAGAGTGCTATAGGGACAAAATCATGTTTCGTGATCAACAGTTTGTGCATGTTTTTCACTGTTTTCTCGAAGAAGTGTAATGCCGACTAAGCTGGAACTTCAACAGGTTTAGGTTCTGAACATTCTTCGTTGGATTTTTGAGTGGTGTTATTATTGGAAACGAACAAAATAGCATGAAAGGCAAATGAGGCTATATGCCTTTTTAACGTTCCAAGTATAACAAGATTAGTTCATTTGCTTTAAAAGTGAGGGAGGTATCACATTATACCCACAAAAGACCAACACCAAAAGTCAGGGTTTTTAAGTTGGTATAGGCCTATACCTGTTTTTTTAAATTTCGATTTTCTTTTCCGAACGAAATTTAAAGGAATATAATGTCCTGTAACAAATACATATGGTTGTTTGTTTTTGCAGGCCTTTATACAGTTTTAAAAATTGGTTTTAAGTAGCGCGATCCAGTTCAGAAATTACGCACACTATATTCAGAACGAATTAGGAGCGTTCCGCTCTTAATTCACAAGTTGAAATTAATTTGTTGATCACTTGTCATGGGCCAATGTTTTTCGTTCGATGTCTCATTGGAAAGCCCATAACTAATGTATTGCCAAAAAAAATATCAATTCAATTTGAAAATCTATTTTTTGAAGATGCCACACCCAAAAAGAAGTATACACCAACTTTAAACGCGCCAAGTTTCAATTTTGGAATGGAAGCATGCGTGGTTAAAATTAGGTGAAGTACAAAAAACAACAACAAACAAATAAACAAACGAACAAACAAACAAGCACTGGCTAACGTAGGCCTACGTGACAATTTCATGCCCAACTTGGTCGAGCGTATTTTGATACCTGTTTGTTACGTTGACTTTGCTGCATTGCCGAAGTACTATTTATCTTGCGGGATTGATAGTAACACGCAAAAGTGCTTCCACCTCTAAATTAGACCCGTTGCGTCAGTAGTGCATGTTCCCCTCGTACCAAGATTCCATCCGGGGGCATCGAGTTGCTTTTATCCTTCTAATTTAAAGGTGCACCCTGTGCATTTTAGCCCTTGAATTTTCAGTCAAAGCTATTATCCCGAAAATAGTTACGACAACCGAATATATTGTCGGTTAACAATACATTAATATATTATTCGAAACAAAGGCAATCTTAAGAATTTCGGTGTTTTTTAATGAAGGAAACACAGATTGTTATCTTCGAGGGAAAATGGTGTTTGTGTAAGGATTTTGACTCACGACAAGTTCGATTGGGTCCGCATACGTGTTTTTGGCTTGAAGCAGGTCCGTAGATTCACGTAAACAGGAGTGGGTATAGATTAATCGTGGGATAGTCTCGATTAGATCGAAAGAAAATTGGAGTTGAAAAAAAAAACAACCACACGAACAGACGTCACAAAACAGATCCGAATAACAACGGCAACAAAATCCAATTCGTTCTTACTTGGAACGATATAGACGGGTTGCAAATTGAGGAAATGCTGCTATATGGATGATAACAGAAACAAAATTGCAATACGTAAAACGACCAAGGGCGGATCCAGGGGGGGGGGGGGGGGCCAAAGGGGGCCATGGCCCCCCCCCCAAAAAAACGAAACCAATTTTTTTCTTTTTTTATGTGACATCGCAATAAAGGCAGGCAATGAGTACACCACCATCTTTTCCTCAAAAAAACATTGGTTAAAGTGGTCAGAAATTGCCTCAGATCGCACCACAGAGCATCTAGAATCCAAAAAAATTTCGGGGCCCTTAAGCGGGCCCCGAACCCCACGCCGTATTTTTTTGGGGACCCACTTTTTGGGGGGACCAAATTTTTTTTGGCCCCCCAAAAATTGTGTTCTGGATCCGCCCTTGAAAACGACATGCATGAGAACTCAGACTTGCGATTGAATTCTTCGCCAAGGTCAAATATTTGAAATTTAGTTTTGGCTTTTCACCGACGTCATTTTAATAATCACGGAGGGTTCAGTGCTGTGCATAACCAGTGCCATACAATGCTGTACATGAATCAAGCTTCGCAAGTCTTTTGATAATTTTTTTTTTTGGGGGGGGGGAGGAGACAAGAAGAAAATATCGTGTCAGAAGCTAAAGAAGGAAATACAGGGTGGTACAAAAAGAAGGAAACCCACTTTTGACAGGAATTTTTACCCACTTACTGAACTCATTTGAAATGGTTTTTTTTTTATAATGTAGTGAAGTATAGCTCTTCAAACATACATGGTGAAAAAAAAAATCTTTAACAAAAATCGCAAGAATAGTATTATTATGCTAATTTTGGAGCTCAGTCAAGCGGATGGAATAAAGTCGTCCGTGGACAAACAGGTTTGACACACCATATCTACCATATCTCAGAGACAAAATATGCATTTGCAATAATTTTTTCGTCAATTTTGTTTAAAGATCAACAATTTAATACCATTAAATTGAACTTTTGAAATATGCTTAACAAGTAGGTGAAAATTGCTGTCAAAAGTGGGTTTCCTTCTTTTTGCACCACTTGTACATGTTTTTCAAGTGGGTTTCAATACAGGTCAACAAGAATGTCCCAGAAAACCAGCTGCGTAATCGAAAACACCAAGTAAGCCAGCGCCAAGGACCCTCAATGACTCCCCCAAGTACTTTGCGGCTCTCGTCCGACAAACATTACGAGCTTGTGTTGTATTCTGTATCATACAAAAAAAAAAAAAGAACATGTCATTCTCGCCGTAACATGAAGCCTGAACTGACCGAGTCCGGAAATGCCTAACATTCATTTCAGTAATGTGAGGCGCCACCGATGGATCGCAATCGGTCATCAAACTTGCTCATACGTGCTTCTGAAATCTTGCCATGGGAGTATTCAATCGGTCATGAAACTTGCTCATACGTGCTTCTGAAATCTTGCCATGGAAGTATTCAATCGGTCATCGAACTTGCTCATACGTGCTTCTGAAATCTTGCCATGATGGAAGTATTCAGATATCATGACCTATCTGTAAAATCTCGAAATCTGTGTTTCCTCTTTAAGGTCCAAGAGGCCACCCTCAATATACCCCCCCCCCTTTAAAACAAGACAAGCTACTGAAGCTAGCGTAGTAAAGGTATTCCCAGAGGGCCCAAAAATGTATTCGATTGATTCAGAACGGCTATTCACTGGAAGTATTTTCATGCATCTGGTCTACACCCAATGGGCCGGACTTAGCCCATTCGTTGGCGTTATGGGGTAATCCTATACGATAAAACTGCCCGGCTCACAAGCGACATTCGGTCATTCAGAGGACTCTGGGCTCGCAATCTCTGACCAGCCAAGATACAAAGAAAACTTACAATTGTTACAAGATTGTTGGGAAGCAAAAAGCACGACCTAAACAATCTTCTATTCCTTTCATAAAAGATGTCTTGAAAAGTAATTGCCAAATGTCCATATATACTACATGAAAACCATTTTTTTTTCTATGAAAAAAGAAAGAAAAAGAAGCTGTTTATCATGCTCTTATAATGCATTTCAGAGCGAGTAACCACGTCACTTGAAAATCAACAGAAACTCTGGTTAGGTCAATGGAAATAAAATTGTGTTCAAGAATACTGCTTATCCACATTAAAAAAAAACTCAACATCTGTATAGGCCTTTCTTACTGACGCCCGCCAATTTCGGCCGGAAAAATACAATAAATTATTTATTAATTAATTAATAAGCATTTACAGTCTAGCTAACCTATATTTTCCGAAACTTCAGAATTATTCCAATAAAAGCACGGAAATTGTACAAAGGGAGATCAATTCGGGAAACGTCTACCCGATACTCAACGTTTCAGAAAGTAATTCTCTGATCGTCTTCAGGGGTATAGGCCTATATCTCAAACCACGCGGGACCACAGATGGCATACACGTAGTTGTAAAAAATCGGAAGCATTTGTGGCTTGATTGACCACGTGTGAGTGTTGCATTTCTATATCCAGGATTCTCAATGTAGTAAGAGCCGCCTCTTGATCAATACTTGCGGTAAAATTTCCCATAGGCATGCAGGGAGATAGTTGTGATCCCTCTCTGGGCATCGGGCAGGACATGAATCGAATCGGGTTGGATAAAAAAAACACACCCAAGGATGCATGCAATATATTAAAGGTATTGGGTAGATCATTGTCATCATTTTCTTCGTTTGAAGCAAGAAAAGTGCTCAAAATCTACAGACTGGTGCTTAACTAATCTGATGAACTTTCAGCTCTGTGAATGGTGTATATTCCGAGAAAACAATATTCTAGGATCTCGGTTTAAATTTAAAAGTTGCCGAGTCATGTTTTGAAAATTGCGCCCGAAATCAGCGTCCGGGACACGTTCTCACTCAGCCGATTGCAGCTACGCGATGTCACGCACTGAACTGACGAATAATAGCGTTGCGTCGTGTCAATGCTTGCCCGTACCCACTCACGGATTCGCCGAATTACAAATCAACTACAAACGGAAATTCCCCAAAATGCGTCACTTGACGACAGCATACCAGAAGAACAATTCACAGGGAGTCTAGTGCCATTACTATCTTTAAACCAACTAAGTTTTTCAACAACAACTTCGACAGTTACTTTTTGGATAGCTGCAAATGATCTACTCTCCCTTTATTGTGCTAGAACTGCATCGTCAACGCGCGTGATAATCGCGATGAACATAGGTGCTCAGTCCAGGCAGCTGTGATGTGACATCCCTTCTCTGGTATCAAGCCTTTCATCTCCTTATACGTCCTCTCCCTGTGCTTGTCTTTCCTACCCAGTGATGCTGAGCCAAAGTAAACAGAAAATTCTGCCTTTAAATCAAACATGCCTTCAAAATTTTCAGTTTTACCCTAACATGCACATGAGATTGTTGATGCGTCACTGCCACTAATATCATGTCGCCCGCAGGCGGGATCCCCTTCGGCGTCTCCAATCTTCCCTATCCTTTATGCAGGCAGCCAACTCTGTTGTGGTCTCCGCCCCGGCATCTCTTCTCAGGACACCGACATAGCTCGTCCTCTGTCTAATACAAATACAATCAAACTATTTATAAAATGGAGTTTGCGTCGGGTGAATGTTAACTTAATTCCCTCCCGGCCCCCTTAACCGACGTATTTTTATTCAACACTGTATACTCAGTGTTTTCCGAGGACTTGCGAAAAAACGTTCGCAAGCTCACTCGGGTGGGGTTCGGACCCACAAATCCTGCTTACTAGTGCAGACGTCTTTATACACGACCACTGAGCTTGCTGGGGTCGACTGGCGCTTATGGCTGGTCCGAATATAGCAGTGGGTACCAAAAAAAACAATTATGAAGAGAGTTGTTGAAGCTAATTTTTTGAGCCGCGGCGCGGTCTTTGAAATTTCGTAATACAACGGAAATCCGTGTCCATCTTCCCTTCACCGTGGTTGTTCTCTGTACAACGAAACATGGTTAAGAAGTCCGGTTCGTTAAATAAAATACATTTGGAGTTGCCAGGATTCAGAATAAGGGCTATGTTTGTAATGGGTAGTTTTTGAGTTGCGTGAGAGTAAAAGTTATGGAAGGATTACTAATTATGAATGTTTGCATAACAAGGATATTGTTGTTGTCTGATCTGTTCACTACAGAAGCAAGGCACACGCTGTTGTGATGATTCTGGTGATTTGGGTGGTGGCTCTGGCAAGTCAATCGCCGGCTGCTGTGGTTGCAGATGCCTATACCGTCCCCATGACGCCCCAGCAGCATACCACCGTCTGCTTGGAGTACTGGCCCAACTACGAGGCCATGCGAGCCTTCAAAGGCAGCAACTTCGCCTTCTTCTACTGCATCCCGGCGATCGTGGTGTCCGTGTGCTACCTCCGCATGGCCCGGACCCTCCAACGCAGCGCCCAGTTCACCAGGTCCGAGAGCGGGGAATCGGCCCTGGCGGCCGGGCTCCAACGCCAGCAGACCTCGCGCCGTAAGGTGGCGCGCATGGTTCACGTCCTAGTCATCGCCTTCGCCGTGTGCATGTTGCCCTGGCACATCTTCATGTACCTCCTCTGCACGCCGTCCGTCGCCCCGAGCGACACTGTGCTGTTCTATATGGGCATCTTCTGCCGACTGGCGATATATATCAATTCCTGTCTCAATCCGCTGCTGTACTCCTTCTTCAGCCAGAATTTCAGGGCAAACCTGAGGAAGTCCTGCTCGTGTTTGAGCAAGATAACGTGCCGCAAGAAGATCTTCACGCCTATCGAGGTGGGATTCAAGGAGATCGCGGGAGGTCTGGATGAGAGCGCCAGGATCTCTGCGACGTCAGGAAACCAGCGGTCCTTCACGTCTGTCCTAACAAGGGCTTAATTGCTGACTGTGGATGCAGTCTCTCACAATGTGGTGCAGTAGTAGTAGTGTCAACGGTCGTATGACTCAACATTCAAAACAACTTCAAACATTTCAAGCACCGAGAGAGCTTATAGCCCGAGGTTCTGTGATTCCTAGACCCTACGCAGAACATCTACCAGCACACTAGACTGATGTCTGCAGCACCCAAAGGACACAAGATACTTACTTCTGGAAGATGTGTTCCTTACATCAATAATAAGGTGATGTGGTACATTTCTTATAGCCGGACACTATAAACTTGACGTCCAACGTTTGTGCAGTAATAAGTTCAAATCTAGAGATAGCTTTAAATGTGTTCTCGGTACTATGATCATGTACAATATGCCTTCTCCATTTATGATTTGAGATACTAGCCTTATTGTACCGGGTCTTAACATCCAGGTCCTATTCAGCAGGTCCTCGTTTCAAGAAGCTTGGTCTCCTCATGTTGTGAGGTCCTTGGTCCTAAGATCATGTACTTGTATAGGGCTCCTCCATTTATGAAGTAAAATACTAGCCTTATCCTAGCTGGTCCTAACATCCAGGTCCTACTGAGCAGGTCCTCGTTTCAAGAAGCTTGGTCTCCTCATGTAATGAGGTCCAAGTTGGTCCTCAGATCCTGTTTAGGGTGTCCCATTATGTATGAAGTGCGATGCTAGTCTTATTGTAATGGGTCTTTACCTTCAGGTCTTACTTGGCAGGTCCTCGTTTCAATAAGCCTCGTCACCTCATGTAGTGAGAATGTCGCCTTTAACATGAGAACTGCTAACAAAAAAGTCCCGGTCTTCTGCACAGAGCCATTTACCTCAAAAGCTTAATGCTCAGTGTGTGGAGCAAGTGTTTTCCCTTAATGATGCGAGGTGCCAACTCGAGGTGAAATCAACAGGTCCTCGATTTAAGAAGTTTGGTCTTCTGTAGTGAGGACCTCACCATTTAACATAAATCATGTTTACCTCAAAGCAGTTAGCGATGCACACGGCTACTTGCCTCAAAAGATTCCTCGGTTCAGGTAGAGCGGTTGTTCCTTCATGAGGTCCCCACCTCATTTTAATGGAATCATAGGACTGTAGTGAGGACCTCACCATTAACATAAATCTTGTTTACCTCAAAGCAGTTAGCGATGCACACGGCTATACTCGCCTCGAAAAATTCCTCGGTTCAGGTAGAGCGGTCATTCCTTCATGAGGTCGGTCCCCACCTCATTATTAACGGGTCAAGTAGGGTCAGTAATAGAGCGATCCGTTAGGCCCCGCCCACTGCGCACGTGGGCAACATCACGTGCGCCTCTCCAATGGCACGTGCACGTGCACGAATGTCGGACATTATTGTGTGGACGCATGTCGGACATTTATCACGACTGTGATTGGTCAAAATACCACTGGGCGGGGCTTAATGGATCAGTCTATTCCATGACTCCTGTGTAACGGTCTGGGACTGTCGGACATTTATCACGACTGTGATTGGTCAAAATACCACTGGGCGGGGCTTAATGGATCGGTCTATTCCATGACTCCTGTGTAACGCCCTGGGACTACTGTCTATCGTCAAACTATGAAGGAATTGTTTTCCTTATGATCAGATGAAATGGGAACCGCTCATTGTGTAAATAAGCGACTGACATCGTTTTGTGCGTGGTTTCTTTAAACTGCAAATAAGAAATAAAATACAGTATTTATCCCACGAGAGGAAAATGAGAAAGGGAAAAGAGATATGTACAAAAGCTGCCTATCAGGCATTAGGTTTCCATGACAACTTCGACCAATGCCGACCGCAGTTATCTTTAATAGGTACATGAAATCTTACAAGGCACCACACTGCACTGTGATACAGTAATGTTACTTAAAAAAAAATTACCACGTAAAAATATTTTAAAAAGTAAAAGACAACATAAGCGGTTTTTACGTGTGGTATCATGATGACGCAGGTCACGACAGGGGACTCAAGATATTTGCGTATACACGTTGTCATTGTTATTAGGGAGATGCCGTGCTCTATATGGCACGGCAAACCATGACCACGGCAAAGAAGCACACTCGAAAGAAGATAATGGACTGACTAGGGTAAAACCGGATGGGACGTGGCGAGAGATACTAACGAGTCAAATCGGCGAATTATTGGACGGAAGCTGAGTGCGAGAGAAGGGTGGCTGATAGGATGCTGGAAGGGTGTGAGAGAGAAACTGGAAAGATGGGCAAGGCAAATATATGATAATGACGACGACAGAATGGGAGCAGATAAGAGTTAGGGAAAGTGGAGTTTAGATAAGTAAAGGAAACAAAATTAATACAAATTGAAACAGAGAGAGGTACAAAAAGATGTGGCATAGTGATTAATGATGGAGTATAAGAGGACAAATTGAGAAAAATTGTCTCCAGACTTTGAATTGTCGCCAGACTTTGGGTTGAATCGAAGATAGACCGGAGATGATCGCTCCGGTCGGTATTGCAATTGAAATTAAGCATCGATCCGATCTAATGACATCGAACTGCCGGATAGTGTTGCGAGGCAAAACAAGTCAAATTCAGCGCTAATCAAGTGCAACCCTGAAGAGATGCAGCAAATTATGAGTAAGAAAAAACTCCGAAAATCGTTCAACTCGACGGGGAAAAAGCGTCCCTTGGTGCTTTAATAGCGCACGACTTAGTCGACCGAATGGTGTTGTTGCAAGGAGAGCTCCGGGCAGAACGGAGTCAGTAATCCCGACCAAAGTGCTGATTACGGAGTAATAAAATTCAACCACCTCGAGCGGTTAATCAGTACGATACGCTCCCGGCAAATACGGGCAGACCATAGAGACCTAGGGATCGTCCCTTCTCCACCTTCACTATTGAATTTTTTTCTGGCATGACGCAAGAAGTAATCAACAACAAAGACAACAATCTGGCGCTGCAAATTGTGTACATTTCGTGCTCGTTTATTTCTTGTCATGTTTACTGCGCGCACATTTATCCTAGTTACAAATAGTGAATATCATTGTGTCTGCACTATATTAATATAAAAAGAATATTTTGATGCACTTATATAGTAAGAAACACTTCACGCACGCATGCTAGAATTTTTATCAGCAGCTGTTTTACGATAATAATGTATCCATTCGGAAAGCAAAACGCCGCGCACGAAACATCAATTAAAGTATACTACATGTATTAGTTGTTTATACTACTGCCTTATGAAAATGACTTTAAACTATATTCTTGGTCAAAATTCAAAACAAAGATAAACGTAGTCGTTATTTTGAAAAAAAACCCCGTTATTTTGTTAAAAAGAAAAGAAAAAGGAAATACATGGCAAAATTGGGAGTCACTTAATCAGAGTCTGTGCTACCTCGGGCTTGGTTATTTGGAATATGGGATAAAATAATGTCCAAACTAATAATTATCATATTTCTCATAGTGTTTGTTGACTTCTAACTTGTCGAGCGTGCAAGCTTAAGTAACATGCGGAAGTTCACCAGTGGCTTCAACGTGTGCGTGCTCTATACGGCTTAGCTGGACTTTTAATATCATATTTAAGAAATATTTGTATAAGAAGGAGAAAAAAAACATGAACATTTTTGAAGCCGAAAGAATGAGCCAAATTTCTGATAAACCATTGATACTGCTATAGATCGGCACGATATAGATCGCTTGCATTCTGTAGCCATCTTTAAGGTGTGTATGGTTTTGTGAATTCATTTTACAATGAACGCACACAATTTCTACTCTTGCATATCCCTATTGAACAAAAGCACGCACCTCCACGATGGCGGCAGTGCAAAGGGTCTATTAGGAACTTCCAAACAAGCGCGTCCGTAGTTATACACCTGCCAATGTTTAGTAAGTTCACATCGGACGCGAGAGTATACGGAAATTACAATGCTATAGGGGCCGTGAATAGAGCCGAAGTCCGATCACGAAGGATGCAAAGGCTGTTGAGTGAAAAGTTCACTCGGAAGAAAAACAATTCAGAGAGGTCGAGAGAAGGGTTGGGAGTGTGTTTCTGTGGCTTTTAGAATTTACTCCTTGAAAGACGTGGACGCGTGGACGAGATTGAAGAGGATTCTCTTTCGGAACGAAGTTAGGAGATAAGAGTATATAATAGGGCACGATGAAAGGTCAATGAACGAACAAGGGTATATCAGCAAAATGTGCCTTACCATTACAGAGGCTTGCACTCCGTCAGCGTCAGGTATGCGTTTGTAATAGGGCTTACTAAGCAACAGAAACAAACAAGATCTGAAACGCTTATGGAAATGCGCCGAAATACATGTTGTAAATGACTTTCTCAGGAGTAGAAAGGAGTCAACGACCCCCTTAAAAGGGAATATTTTTTTCAATAACTCTCCAATAGGCGAGCAACCGAGTAAGCTATACAGCCTTGCTTCCTGTTTTTGCTGGGCATGTGATCTGAGATGTGGTCACAAGGAATAGGCCTGAGAGGTGTGACTGACGGAGGAATGCATACAACCGAGGGCGTCTTCTTTAGAAAAGGACAGTCAAACGGGAAAGTCTGTCCAAGTGGGAATTGCAACAAGATATGGATTTTGAGTATGGTCAAACGCTAGAGTACTCATAGCGGATATACAATCCTAGCGTTTGTTGAGGTAGCAGTTTGAAGACATAAAGTTTTGTCAAAGAAACTCTGCTATACTTCTTGGAATGATATATTATTGACAGCTTGCGCGTTGCCCTTTCATATCACAGTATCCCTCGAAGAAATATTAGCCTATTGCTACAAACAGGTATGTGCAAATATAAACGTACAGCAAAGTGCTGCCTTCCGAGTATTGCCTGTTTCTTATGGGTCTATCAATCATTTTGTTCAGTTCATGCGGGTTACCAATCAATCTGCTAATGCATTATACAATGTGTATGTTACTGTACGGGGACTTTCGTAAGTGTGCGCTTTTTCTCAAGTGCCTTGAACGCGTGTAATAGAGCTTTCCATCTTAAGTCAGCGAATTACACACAAACACACAGACACGTTTGTTTATGGTGTAAATCGAGGATTTTCTTTTGTTCCTCTCCCCTTTTCCTTTGTTTGTACAGCTCTCATTGGCTTTGTACACGTTTTCTAATCGAGGTCGTCCCCGAATTGGTTCCTGTCCTCGATTCACCGATGATGTTGCACGTGTGTGTCCTCGATTTACACCATAAACAAACGAACAAAAAAACACACATATTATCTTGATGCTTTCCCGAGCGCCATCCTGCGATGATAAGCGTGATGAATGACCGTGTTCCCCATAAACAATCTACCCTTGTATTTTTTTTGTCAATAGTGGCATATATAAATCGTTTAATATATTTCGTTTGAAGTTATATACGACATGAAAAGGGAACGAGTCTATTAATGGCATACTTGCGAACTGTTCACGATCCAGCATCAAAAATTCTGAATGCCTGGGTTTTATTTTCGAAATTGTTAAGATACTTTCAAATATTAAAGACGTGATAATTGTGTCCACTCTGATCAATGTTTTGGTATTGTTGAATTGCATGAGCACTTTTCTTTATTCTTTATTGTTAATAATTCCTTACAGCGTGGTTGTTACTGACTGCAAGCAGTCAAATTGTTGGAGTATTTCTATTTGTTACCCGTTGAATACAAACTCAACACTGCCACGCAAATGAAAAAGCTGCCATTTTTTCAAACAAATGTCAACATAGCAACGTAAAGGGATATCGGATCTCAAATTTAAGTACAATTCATATATATTGAAAGTTGTACGATTATCAGATTTTTAAGATGTTGAGCTACACTATTTCATGTGCATATTGTGATGCCCTTTGATATAAAATCTGTATGAAGTACTATAATAAAGACTCTGTAAAACTATAGTCGGAGTTGAGTAGATATCAGTCAGACTTGCACCAGACTGGTACAGCTGTAGTCAACCTGGTATACAACTTCGACTATTTCATTTAAATCTAATTTTTGCTTTGCAAGTGAAGCTCTAAACGCAAATGCTTAATTTCTGCACCTTTATCCTGCACTTTAAGTACTGTTTGCACGTATTCTTGATAATTCCATTGAATGGTTATCGTGTGCGCGATGATTGTTTATACAAAAAGGAGTGCAATAGCCGGGATATAACGAAAATTAAAAAAAAGTTATATATGCAATATTCAAAAGTGAAATACAAACAAGTAATCTTTACAATTATCTTACGATACCAAAGGAGATATGGCGTCAAAACTTGTATTTTGTTTTTCTAAGTGCATGTGTATATAACTGTTAATGGCATAAATATCTATATCTATTAAAGAAAATATCTCGGCTCCGTATTATGAAGTATTAAATTTTTGTGTTTATCATTGAATTATTTCTGATGTTCACAGGTCTTTTACGCACGGAAT